CCATCTCTCTCCAAACAGTTTTAAAAACAAACCGTGCCCTGGCTGGTATGGCTCAGTGGTTAGTGTTGGCCTGAGTCCTGAAGGGTCGCTGGTTCGGTTCCTAGTCAAGGGCATGTACCTGGGTTGCGGGTTCGCTCCCTGCCCCTGGTTGGGGTGTGTATGGGAAGCAACGAGTCAATGTGTCTCTCTCACATGGATGTTTCTCTCTCTTTCCCCCTCCTTCCTCCCTTCCACTCTCTCTGAAAAGCAATGGAAAAAATATCCTCAGGCAAAGATTAACAAAAAACAAACAAAAAGCCCTGAAGAGTTCCAGCTTGCTGACCCTGTCCTAGTTCTCCTGCCCCACGAGGCTCCCCGAGTCCAGTACACCATCTTCATCCGGGGCACCGTGCTGTGCGGAGGCAAGAAGAGAACATGCTGCGCAGCCAACCGCCTACCCACCAGCATTTAACTGTTCTAAGTCCCAGGGTTTTATCTTTATTGTTCAAAGTATTATAAATGTTGCCCTTTCCCATTGATCTCCTCCACCCTGTACCCCTCTCCCCAGGCCTTTACCGAACTATTGTCTGTGTCCATGGGTTATGCATATAAGTTCTTAGGTTGATCTCTCCCCAGCCACCCACCCCCCTTCCCTCTGAGATCCTTCAGTCTGTTCCATGCTTCTATGTCTCTGGATCTATTTTGTTCCTCCGTTTATTCTGTTCATTAGATTCCACATATGAGTGAGATCATGGGATATTGTCTTTCTCTGACTGGTTTATTTCACTTAGCATAATACTCTCCAGGTCCCTCCATGCTGTCTCAAAAGGTGGGGGATCCTTTTTTACAGCTGCATAGTATTCCATGGTGTAAATGTCCAAGATGATTGATATGATTTCAATCTTCTTGAACTTGTAGACTTGTTTTGCGTCCTAACATGTGGTCTATCTTTGAGAATGTCCCATGTGCACTTGAGGAGAATGTGTATTCTCTAGCTTCGGAGTGGAATGTTCTATAAATGGTCAATGAAATCCATCTGATCTAGTGTGTCATTTAGAGTCACTGTTTCCTTGTTGATTTTTTGTCTGGAAGATCTACCCAGTAAAGCCAGTGGGGTGTTAAAGTCCCCGACTATGACTGTATTGCAATTGATCTCTCCTTTAAAGTCCTCCAGAATTTTTTTGTTTTTTGTTTCCACCCTGTGTGAATCTTTTGTTCTGAGGTGGATCTCTTGTAGACAGCATATATTTGGATCTTGTTTTCTTATCCATTCAGCTACCCTATGTCTTTTTATTGGGACATTTAATCCATTTATATTTAAGGTTACTACTGATAGGTACTTATCTATTGCCATTTTATTTCTTTATGTCTATGTTTCTCATTCTATTCAACTTATTACAGCCGCCCCTTTAACATTTCTTGCATTGCTGGTTTGGTGGTGATAAACTCCTTTAGCCTTTCTTTGTCTGAAAAGCTCTTTATTTCGCTATCTATCTTGAATGATAATCTTGCTAGAATAGTCTTGGTTTCAGATCCTTGCTTCTCATTACCTTGAATACTTCATGCCATTCCCTTCTGGCTGGTAGAGTTTCTGATGAGAAATCAGCTGATAGCCTTATGGGAGCTCCTTTGTAGGTAACAGATTGCTTTTCTCTTGCTGCCTTTAAGATTCTCTGTCTTGGATTTTTGGCATTTTAACAATGATGTGTCTGGGCGTGGGCCTCTTTGCGTTCTTCTTGCTTGGGACTCTCTGTGCCTGCTGAACTTGGGTGACTTTTTCCTTGACCAGGTTAGGGAAGTTTTCTGCCATTATTGCAAATAGATTCTCTAACCCTTGCTTACTTTCAACCTCTTCTGGCATTCTAATGATGTGAATATTGTTATGTTTCATGTTGTCCCACAGCTCCCTTAAACTGTCCTCCTGCTTTATAATTGCTTTCTTTTTGGTTCTCCAATTGAATGATTTTTCCTACCCTGTCTTCTAATTCTCTGATCCTATTCTCAGCTTCCTCTTATCTGCTGTTCATTTCGTCCAATGTTTTTTTTTTTATTTCTACTATGTCATTCTTAATTTCCTTCATAGTTTCTATATCTTTTTTCATGCTGTTGAGCATCTTTATGATCAGTATTCTCAACTCTGTGTCTGACAGATTGCTTATCTCCATTTCATTTATCTCTTCTTCTGGAGAATTCTCTTGTTCTTTCATTTGGGGCTTGTTTTTTTGTCTCCCCATTTTGGCTGCCTGTTTGGATTTGTTCCTATGTATTAGGTAGATCTGCTAGGACTCCCAGTCTTTTGGATGGTCTCTGGTGCAAGCCAATGTTAGACACTGTTTGTGACTGGCCTTGAGAACCCTGTTTGAAGTTTTCCACTGTCTACAGCTTCTGGTTTCCTCTGCTAGGTCTGGGTGTTTTTGGACAAGATGAAGATGTGCACCAAGATCTACTTTTTCAAGCCCTGGGTCCAGAAGCAAATCAAGCAAAGGCTCAAAGCACCCAGAGGCTGTTATTCAGTCTTTTAATGAGCCTCAGGCTGTAGAAACTCCACAGGGTAGGGCGGCTGATTGTTGTTATGAGTTGCTTAAGGAGCGTCAGGCTGTGGGGCCAGAGGTTTTCCAGCAGGGTAGGGCAATTGCTTCCTTCACAGGCAAAAGCTGCTTGGAAGGTAAATGTCTGCCTGAGTAAGATGTCCTCTGCTGTATGGGGGAATGGCTCAGCACCGGGATCCAGATGAGTGCCCTCTTAGATCTATTCCCCCTGCAAGCCCCACTAGATTCTCCTCATACTGCTCTAGTCCACTCTGCCTTCCCTCTACCAGAGCCCAAGGTGAGTGGCTGCAATGAAATTTGTGCATTGGCTCTTTAAAAGGGTGCCTGCATTTCCAGCCATCTCTCTCTGGCTGACAGAGACCCTGCTGCTTTTCACAGTGTTGTTATGTGGGCACCTTTCTCAGTTCTGGTTCTCTGGGCTGGGAAGCCCAGCTTGGGGTTTAGTCCCCAGAGTTCTCAGTGGGAGCCCCCCACAGCAGAGGTATCCCTCTAGACCTTCAGCTGCTGCCTGTGGGAGCCCAGCCAGCCCTCTCGTGCCTCTGCGAGTCTTATCAGTCTCTATGTGGTCTTCACTTTTCCTCCTTGGTTATGAGGGTGCTCTCCAGCTCATCTTCAATTACAGTTGATTATTCAGGGTGTTTTTTCTATATTTTAGTTGTAATTCCAGTTTGGTCCCAGGAGAGTGTCAGTGCAGCTTCCACTCAAGCTACCACCATCTTGAATCTCTTCTAAGCTGGGGTTTCTTTACTTGTGAAATGAGGATCTAACACCTACTTTACAGGACTGAGTAAAGATGAAAAGAGACCATAGACTACACAAATGTTGCTGCTCCTTTCTCTTTACAAAAAGAGCCCACGTCTGCCTATCTCATAGACTGTTTACATATTGCCAAATAGGTAGATTCTGTTTTTATAAACCATTATTATATTGCTCTCTCCCTTCCCCAAAAACAATGGGAGTGGGGAAAGGGTAAAAAGAACAGGTGTAATGTCTAATACTTGACTCCTGAGACCTCAGGCCACCTGGACATAACTGCTTCACGCTGGTGCCAGAGCAGCCTCTTTCCCCGGAGACTCTGCTCTGGGGACCTATAAACAGTGAACCTGACCCCTGTGTGGAGGTCATGTAACCTCTTAGTAAACAGCCAACAAATTCATGAGCAAGTCCCTCTTCTTAGAGCCATGTGGTTTGTTCTAACTGTGGTGGTGGTGGTTGGAGTTGGTTAGGTGCACCCCCCCAGACCCTGCTTCTGCATTAGGTGACCCTCTTTCCCACACCAGGTCATGGAGGGCCTGTGGGTGCTTCCTTGGAAGAGCTGAAAGGGAGGTGAGCAGGGGAAACCCCTCAGCGCCCTCACACAAGCCTTGGACAACCAGAAAGGGGCAGGCTGACATCCCTGAGCCATTCCTGTAGGACCGGCAGTGGCAGACCTGCTTACCAGAGCTACCTTGAGAAGGCAAGTTACTTCTATGAATTCAGCAATTAAGAGCAGAAAACCCTCTCTGGAGAAGGTCTCCTCTAACATAAATCTACGTTCATTTCTGAACTGGACAGATTTAATAGAATGAGCAGTGTGTGCACAAATCTCCACTTAGCAGCAGCCACACCCTTTGTTGGACTGTAGATAGGTTGGGGGTGGGGGGAGGACTTCCTGGGGATGCCGCGGAACACTGACATATGCAAGAATTTCTTAGCTTTCAAAGTTTTGAGGTGAAGTGGGTATTTTATGGACATTTAAGGTGTGAAGAGTAGGAATAAAATGGGGAAGGAACACAGGGTAATCCATAAAAATGAAACAGAAATCTCAACACTAAAACAGTTGCTCTGCTCTTAAGGAAGCTGCTCTTCTTAACCCAAAGGGCCTAACAGGAAAACTGAGAGGCCTCTCGAGAACTTGTTTACAGATAATCCTTCCCTCCCCTCTGTGCAGAGATAAGGTCCTGTAAAGGCTTGAAAGGCCTGCACTAAGTGTCCCTCTCATTTAATACCTCTTAAAACATAACTGCTCAGCAAGCGTGACTTTTACATGAACAGAAAGTTTGTTTTTCCTGCGCTAATCAACACAAGGCGCTGTTCCTTTTACAGAAAAACTCCCTCAGGTGCAGTTCATCCTGGTTTCACTCCAGCCTGCGGAGGAGGCTGAGTGTCCCCACCCTGAGCTCTGTGAACCCTGCTTGTCCTGGACAAGCCCACAGACAGGCGGTTCTGAGATACAGAGAGCAAGGGCCTGGGACAGGGGCGGGATGGCGCCCAGGATGAAGAGCACCCTTGAGGAACCAGCGCGCTCCTCACCACTGTCCGCCTGGCCCATACCTCTGACTCAGGCACCTCCTGTGTTCATTCGCCTTCTGTCATTCAGGGCCAGGGGACACTGTGTGCTTTGTTTTTTCTCCATCTTGGTGTTGGCATGGTCAGAGGCCAGATACCCAGTAGTATCAATATAGGAAAAAAAGGAAACAAGAAGAGAGCATCCTAATTTACACCATTTGATTAATACACACTAAAAGCACTCAAGGGAAACAATGAATTATCCAATCAAAAGGATACAGCTTTATACTGTAACAAAAAAATAAAAGCCTCACCTTGTTTCCAGTACAAAGAGACAGATCATTTTAACACAGAGGATCATATAGTTGCACACCCAGCTAGCAAACACTTTGGGTATGGAGTCCCTTCCCCAACCACATTACAACATCAGCTTCACACATCTGTAAAACATCTTCCCTTCAGAGTCAGACCCTAAAGATCAAACCTGGGGAGGCGCCCTCTCCCCGGCCAGCATCTAGCTCATCCCCTCTGAAGACACTTGGTAAAGCAACAGTTATAGGAATGATGCTGCTTCGGCAGTAAAGTGCTCTGGCCCAGCCAAGGGAGGGGGACCAGGAGCCTAAGGGCCAAGAAACCAGCCAGCCAAGGGAGAAGGGAAGGAACTGGGGCTGGTGGGGGGAGAACCAAAAGATAAAAAGGAGAAAAGTATTACTTCACTAGTAACCATTTGTTACAATCAACTCCAGCCTCCATCACTGATACTCCAAGAGCCATGGATGCTGGGAAAGCTCATTTCTTGAGTGCAATTTGAGGTTATCTGATCTTTTCTCAGTGGCTTTAGATTCCATTCTGTTTGGGAAACAGCAACAACTTCTTTCATTGGCCACGGATTTCCTTAAAAAGTACAGGGTAGTGTGACCAGGAAGATGGGACACGCAGGCCCACCTGCTCAGGGATGGCTGTGAAGTCAGACTGGCTGGCTGCCTTCCCTGTGGCCAGGGGGCAGCAGAGGGGATCATGCCATACACGTGAGGGGGCACCACCCTGGTCTTTGCCAGAAGCATGACCTCAAGGCTGCGGGGCCAAAAGACCTGGAGGAGCCCAGTCTCCCTCAGACAGGTGCTGGCGAAGTCCTGGCCAAGCAGCTGGAGGGCGGGCTCTGGCCCTCAGCTCTGGCACACACCTGGCTCACATATGCATGCACAGGACAGGGAACCAAGTAACCAATCCCTGGAAAGTGGTTTCATTGTTGTTTTAAAAATTATTTCCTTCTTTCAATCTGGTCCTCAGTTCTCCAAGCTGCTCCTCTATACAGTTCTGCTTCCTATTGCTCTGAGAGGGTGGTTGCATCGCAGATGACCAGAGGCTGGATCCCTCTGGCTATAATGTAGACCTTCCAGTGGGCAGCAGCTGCATAGCCTTGAAGGGAAAGAGCAACAGGAAAGTATGTGAATATCACAGACAGGGCGCACCTGCGGGCATGAGCAGGGCAGGTCTGCTGGAGGTGCCCTTAGGGCGACCTGCAAAGTTAGGCAAATCTTACTCTGAGGGTCTTTTAGCTCTTCCTGGCATAAATATTCCCAGTTATTACCAGTCTTCTCTGTAACCTGACCCAACAGGAGCCCCACTGACCAAAGGGCTCATCACTGCCCCTCATCTGGGTAACTGAATTACATTCAGCAGGTTTACAGGGGCAGATGCTCCAGATGAGCAGGGGCTGGGCATCAGTTCTCACCTCATCTTTTTCAGCAGGAAGACAGGATGGGCTCTGAGGAAAGTGGGACCCATATCCAATTTCCCTGAAGTTACCTACAACATGGCCTCATTATAGAGCCATGTTGTAGCCAGGTTGACCCAACTCAGAATTTCCTAAATTCTGTTCTGCAAACAGCATCCTTCCTGTAAGACAGTCCGAGGAAAATGGGTTCCGTGGCCAAGTAAGTTTCAGAAATACTAGGTTCCTCCACGGCTTTTTGGAGCCTTCTGCACACTAATATGCACTATGCATTGACAAAACAGGTATCTTCCAAAGTCACCTGACGCAGAAGCCCTGTCTGCCGAGGGCCTTTCTAAGGGGTTCCTGTTCCCACCTGGGGCCAGGAGTGATCTGAAGGACTGTCTAGGAAACACTGATCTGTATCACTTGAGGGGCTAGAAAGGTAAACTTAACCTTTATCACTTCAATACTCTCTTGATGGAAATTTTTTAGAGTATGATACACCCTACTCATCTTTAAGTGGAAAGCATTGAATGGAATTTAGCTCTGCCTGGTGAGTCAAGAAAGGTCACTATGAGCCCGGCTGGGCGTGGCTCAGTGGTTGAGAGTCGACCTAGGATCCAGGCGATCGGGGTTCCATTCCCAGTCAGGGCACATGCCCGGGTTGTGGGCTCGAGCCCCAGTCGGGGCGTGGGGGCAGCCGATCAATGACTCTCTCATCATTGATGTTTCTATCTCTCTCTCTCCCTCTCCTTTCCTCTCTCTGAAATCAATAAAGATATACTTAAAAAAAGAAAAAAAGCAAGAAAGGTCACTATGAGCAGTGACTGGACAAGCTGGCGGGTGTGCGGGCTCACCAGAGCCTGACCCCCAGGTCATTCTTGCAAACGTCCCCTACCACAGGTTTCTGGTGGTCTGTAACCTTGTCCCTTTCCCCTCAGTCTTCACAGGACAAGGCTTATTTAACAGAACCTTCTTGTTACATTGCCATTCCTAAGGGTCCCTGAGGTGCTATTAAGATGCCATCTGTCCTCCAACCACTGAACCGTTCTCCGTTGCGGGTCTGCTCTCCAGTCCTCATTTGTAACTGAGGCAGCCATCGCTTCTGCTCCTGCTACTGCTCAGGTGCCCACTGCTCTCCCTGTCCCTCTCCCAGGCCTGCCTCTTCCTCCTGTTCTCTTCTGTCTCCTGTCCCTTCTCCACATTGCTGTCATGTGGCCGGCCTTTTGTGGGCACTGCCAGCCACAGGGCTCTGTTCCTCCTGGTTGGCAGGCCAGCCAGTCACAGCTCAGCAGGCAGTGGGCTCTGGATTTCAGGCTCTTCTGGACTGTCCCCACCAGACTCTGATGCTCGAAGCTTCTCTGCTCACCACCAGCCACCCATTTTCTCTTCTTCCCTAATTCTGTAATGGGCATTCTAGATGCTTTGGGAGCCAGAGACCTGGAATTTGGATAACCAAGGTGTTTCTGTAGTTGTCTGAACTGTCAGGCATTTGTAGAACATAGGACAGAAACTTTTTCATGTTCAACTACACACTCCCAACTCCAAATGCCATGCAGGCTCGTGCAGCCTCATGGGAGGGTCAAGCCACCATACGAAAATAGGTTCAGAACACTCTCTACACAAGAATCTTCTTTTCTGCAGTAATTCCTAGGGCCCAGGCCAGCCGTGCCCCATTATCAGTCAATGCTTAATTTGTGCATTTTTATTTTTTCATTTTAAACTGAAATAAAAGTTATATAACCTGGATTAAACTTTGGCACAGTTTGCAGTCTACACCCTTCCCCAAAATGAGGTGAGAGGTTTCTAGGGATCGAGGTTTTCTGAATAGGTAAATTAAAAGAAATCAACTGCAAAACCAGTCTGAGCTCTGCCAGGGACTCCAGGCCTCCCCTAGGTTTTGTGAGGCACGAAAAGCAAGGAGGGCAATGGGGATGCCTGCTGATTTATTTGCTTCTGCCAAGAAAACTCTACAGTTTGAACTGATTGCTACTGACAGAAGTTGATTTAAACCTGTTTCCCTGGAACCGATTTTTAGAATTTAATGCACAGAACAAGCCACAGTTGGGAAATCATAGAGCCAAGGGTGAGTCACCACTGTGAGGCTGTGGCCGGGAGGTAATACTTCCTTGTGTGGCTGTTGCCCATACGTGCTGCTTGCACTGTGTTATTAGCAAAGTGGGCACTGGGGCACTGGAGGGGTTTCCTTGAATCTGGAACTGTACCTCCCCTGACTTGACTGTTAAATGAGACACTTAGACTTGAGGCTTTCTTTGCTTAACTGATAGTGGAGCAAAGAGTGGTCACCTCTCCTCTCTGGGTCTCAATCTTCTCATCTGTAAAATAAAGGACTGTTCTAAATATTTGCCATAATCCTTTCTAACTTGGATATATATATTCTAAATGTATCTACAAGACATTTCCTTCTGCTACATTTTCTCATTAGTGTTCCTTCTAAGCATAAATATTGACTCTGTTAATAACAAATGCTATTTTTGGCCCTATTTAATTGATCTTTGTGAAGACAATATTTAATTCTTACAATATTTTTTGAGTTAAAAACTAAAAAGGTCCTGGGGCTGACCTCTCCCTCCTGGGGCCCCACATACCAATATCCCCTGGCTCTAGCGGTATTGCCACGGAATGGCAGTGTCTCCGGCACTGGAAGGGGGGGATGAGCTGCAGCATGGCTTCTCCACTGCCAACGGTAAACAGGTCGTGCATCCTATGCATCTGGAGGAAACACAGGGGAAGAAAAGGAAGGAAAATAAAACAAAATAAAACCCAGGGTTGTAGGAGATTAACAAACAAACATCCATGCACATATGGCTCTGAGTTTCCCAGCAGCCTAAGCAAAAAGGAAAACAACCAATAACACAATTCACAATTATGTCCAAAAGACAAAAACAAACCAGTTTCTCCAAAGCATGGCATCTCCCAGTACTGAGACCAGGACAAAATCTCTTCCAATGGCTTCTAAAGAGACACTGTGCAATTAAGTGGGTGACATCCTCAACAATAGCCCTATAGTAGAAATGGCATAAGCTTCATAATTCACAACTATTTCTAGCCACAGCTTCAAAGCAGGCCAAAGGCAAAACATCTAAATGCAATTTAAATGCAATTTAACAAAAATCTAGCAAAGGCCAATACACACTGATCTAAGAATGCAGCCTTCTGAGGGTCTAGTCTGATCTGGACTTTTAAACTAACAGATGTCTACATATCCTCTGGACAATGTTCCATGGAATATTCTTTCTTACTGCCAGGGTTTTGATGAGAATCGAAAAGCAGCAAGTTCAAGTTTACATTTTTGGGTAAGACCCAGGAGAGCAGGTATATCATGCTACTGCGTAAAAGCTAAAGACAGTAAGATTGGCCTCTGATTTTGAAAACTAAAGCGGCAACCAGGATTGCACCTGCAGAGGGAAGGGCTGCACTCCTGAGGGAGCACTACTGCCACCCACAAGCATGGAGTGCACCCTGCTGGGTGCCAGGCACAGCTGTGAACCGGGGGACTAGGCTCGGGTAGGGGGCAGGAGCTAGGAAGCAGGGGGTAGGGGGGTAGGAATCAGGGAGCAGGGACAAACGGAGAGGCTGATCTTGCTCACTAGATGGGGAGAGAGAACCCCTAGGCCTCCCATCCCATCCCAGCCCTGCCAGTCTGGGAAGCCCTCTATATGCCCACATAAAGCAAGGTTCAGAAGTCTGACTCCCTGGGCCAGTAGGGGCCTCCAGAGTCTTGGGTCTTAGCCCCATCTTCTCCTGTCCCCAACCCTGGTCTCCCTGGTGCTTCGGCAGACCTGGCCATGACTCTGATTCCATGGCCACACTAAAGCCATTTCAACTGTTGCTGCAGTGATGAGAGGAAGACTAGGGACGGTATCTTGAGCTGCCTGCACTGAGTAATATCAGCAGAAGCCCTGATATCAGTAGTCTTGAAAAAAATCCCTGAAGACCAAAACCAAGTGGATGCATTTCTTTTCATATAAGCCTGAGAGGGGGCAGGACCATGTTCCTCCACACCCAGGGTGGGAAGAAACAGACAACAGGATAGAGCAGGCCAGCCTGTGGGCAACAATGTGGAGGGGTGCAGTGGGCCTTGGAGCCTTCACCTCTCTCCCCTAGTGCCTCTTAACAATCAAATCCCCACTTCTGTACCCCAAGGCTGCCTCCTGGATCCTGGGCCCACAGATATGTGACTAACCAGGGTTCAGGGTCCAGAAACATGGACAACAGGGTGGAGTAACAAGGCTGTGGCAAGCTTGGGCCAGGGTGGGGAACAGATGCTCTAAGAAACCAGACTCTCAGGATTTTTGCCTATTTGGGCGACTCCCCATCCCAAAACATCTTTGAGAACCATAACAAGACGACTTTGATAGGCGGCTGAGTAACTTTGTATTTACTCCTTTGGCTGGGCTCCTTGGTGTCCCTGTTAAGCACGCTGGTGAAATGAACTTCAGATTCAAGTGGGAAAACTAAGATAAAGATTAGGGCCCTCGCCCAGACTTATGTCCTAATTATGAAGATGAAATCATACTAGGGCCCCGAAGTCTAGCCAGTGACAGCAGGATAAATGTCTTCAAAATCTGAGAAAAGCCCGGCACCTCCACCCTACTGCTGGCAGACAGAAGGTCTTACTTCTAGACAAAATGATTGTTTTTCTAGGCTTTGAAATTCCTTTAACACGATTCAGCAAATTTGGAGCCAATAGTATCAGGAGGTTAAAGATGCACCCCAGAGTTGGTAGGGGTCACGGTTGGGGAAATTTCATTTTTTTCCAAAGTAAAAACTCATGATTTTAATTCTTTGAAACCAATCTAGGCTCAAAAACCTTCCTCAGGAATGAGACTCAACGAAAGAGCAATTCAGAGACAAGCAGGCGGACACAAACACAGAGCAGCTCTGCAGGGCCGCTACCCGGGAGGGCAGGGCAGGGGCTGGGCACTTGGCCCTAGACCCAGGTGAGAAGCGTGGCCACCTAACTGGGCTGCCTGCCTCAGGCATGTGCCTGTCAACCCTTTAGTCCCCAGACCTCCTAATGCTCCCAAGCTTTTTGCTTCTCCAGTTTTCTACCTGAAGTTCCTCACTTACTTCTGGGGAAAGCCAACCTGAGAGTGCGGGTAGGGGAAGAGCCCTCCTATGAACTTACTGTGTCCTTGGTAAATCATTTAATCTCGCTGGGGCTGTTTCCTTACCTACAAAATGAGTCAGGAGGACTAGTCATTTGCATACTATTCATTCAGAGTTTGCCTGCTTTCCACTTTGAGGTAGAGAAGTCAGACTAACTGCATGCTCAGCTCCCTTCAAAATTTTGGATTCTACGTACTTGAATGCAGGAGAATGGCTTGCAGGAGGCAGATCTGCAGGACAACTAGACTTTCCATAAGCATGCCTTCCCTAAAGAGCAGGCCACTGCAAGGCTCCTGGCTAGCAGCAGCAGGAGAGAACCTCAGATTGTGTGGGTGTCCCTTCAATTTGCCCTCTAAGTTAATGTGCAGGGAAGGCCTTGATTATGACATCGGCCCAGGTCCCAAATGAGGAAAGTTCTGGATCTAAGTCCTCTCAAAATTTCCTACCTTACTCCCCACAATAGGTTCTGGTTGAAGAAGGAAGCACTTTTGCAAGGAGGCATCTTTTGGAAATGGGAGGTAGGTGAAAACAGGAAAGAGCTCACGTAAAATGCGTGATCTGTTCAGAGGTCTTCTCCTGCAAAAGTTTGGAAGAGAAAAAAGTAATTAAACTGTGCAAGCCAGCCTCCACGACCAACACAGAGCTGAGCAAGGGTGGGAAAACTGTGGGCGGGGGGCTAAAGAGGGGAAAATATCAGGACAATATCTTAAGTACTAGGTCCTAGAAGAGCGGTCATGCCAAATCAATTAACTGTAACATGTACATGCACACAAACTGCAGCCACGATTTGTCCATGTGGGTGGGTGTTTATAAAATCCAGCTAAAACAACATATAGAGGAAGGAAACAATCCATTCATTCCATCTTGGAAAAGAGACTGGAGTAAGAACAAGCCAAGAGGGAGAAGAGACAAAGGGAGGAGGCGGCAGCAAAAATCAGGAACCTTCTCCTGAGGCAGAGGAACAGCAGCGGGAAGCCTGACTAGCTCCTTAAACTGAGTCTGTGATCACGCAAATAAAGAAAGGCAGAAGCATCGAGTAACTATCCAACAAAAAGCCTGAAAGAGCAATTTCCATTCCCTTTTAGGATGGTTCTAGATGGAAACTGGCTTTCCTTTCCTTCTAGAGAGCATCCCAAGAAATGGACCATGTCTTCTATAGGACACAGGAAAGAACAGGGAGACAGACCTGAGTTTCAATCCTGGCTGGGTGACCTTAAGCAAGGTGCTTAACCTCTCTGATTCCCACTTTTCTGATATGAAAAATGACTGATAATTCCTACTTCCCAGAGCTATTCTGAGCATCACCGCTGAGCAACAGACACCAAGCAGCAATCACACTGTCTGGCCTAGTACGTGCCGGGGAATGAAGTCTCCCTTCCATTCTTCCTACTCTCTCTTCAGCCCGCAACGCTCAGGACCCCTGCTGCATAAAGACAATGCTAGGAATAACTTATGAATCTGTTAGGCAGCCTTGGTGTCCCCCATGTTACCGCTCCTCCTGACACAGCTCTTCCACTCGCCCCTTTCCCTCTCATCTCCCGTTTGTCTGCAGCGAGCTCCTGGGTATTGTCTGACTCGCACGGTGTACTGCAATGTGCTTGCACGGTGCCAGGCAGTGCTGACACTTGCTCTGCCCCTTTCCCATACACACGCAGACCAAGTGCCCCTTTTCACACTCACCACGGATACGGAAATGGGAACCACCGGTGAGGAAAGCAGCGCCACCACTTGGCGAAATACCCTTCCTCGAAGCCTTCTGCCGCCTCAGGGTACTGGCACAGGAAGTGCTGCAGCTCCTCAACCAACAGCGGCTGCTCCGTCTTGACAAGGCCAAAAACAAAAGCACAGCAGAACAACAAATAATTATTTACCAGAAGTGTCACAGGGCTCAATGGTTTCTGGCCATTAAATGGGTAGTCAGCAGGGAAATCAGGCTGCTCGCTCACCTTGATCACCAGAGGATGGAGTCTCTCAAATTCCTTTGGGGCATCTTCCAGGAGCATTACCTTGAGGGGTAATTTCTGGGCACACCCAGTGCAGTTGGCAGGGATGGGGTCCGACTCATTCTGCTCACGGTCATTTGTCCACCAGGGGTCAAAATCTGAGCGAGGAAGGGAGATGGAAGCAGATCCAGGAAGAAGACAGCAGTAAATCCAACAGCCCCAGCAAAGCAGCAAGAAGGAAAGACATACTAATAATGAAAAGCTAACGATGCCAAGCACTGGTGATCTCTGAAAAGGAGCAGAGTGCCCGGGGAACAGGAAAAAACTGTAGTTTTTTCTACACTTTACGGAAAACACTTTTTAGCACGTACACATATTTTCTCAATCGAATCCACAAATGAAGTTGGACAGTTGGAGAAGATATTCAGTGACATGGGGTTGGAGATGTAGTTCCTCCACCGTTTTCTAACCTATGGCCCACATGTCTGAACCATCTACAGCACTTGTGGAGGGGCAGGCAGAGAGCAGTCCCCCATCAGTGCTGAGTCCCGCTGCGAGTCTTCTCCAACAATCTGTGTGCGTAGACCCTTGGCTCGCAAGCCCAAGTGGAGGCCAGGATGACTCTGGGAAGGAGTGAGGAAAGGGTGCAAAGAGAAGGGATAGAGGGGAGACAGGTCTTTCCAGGGGCCCAACTCTGGGGTAAAGTGAACTGTACCTGCCCATTAGACGGCGCTCTATCCCAGCTCAGAAGGGGGTAGGGGCTACTAGCCATGGTCTCTCCCCCCAAAGACTGCAGGTTGGTCAGAAAAGGAAGAATGCCCCCCAGACCCTGAGGTGAGTGCCATCGGCTTCCCTACACCTTTCACTGGTTGCTCCCTGTCTGGGGGCTGGTTGTTTCTCCACAGCCCTCCTCAGTTCCCCTCTATTCCTTCCTCTGGCACTATTCTGTTTATAACGTTACTGGACTATTGCTGGTTTGCTTTCTGTTCCATTCTGAGTTTTATGTGTGTTCTCTGAGATATGTGTTTGTGATAAACTCAAACTTGAATCCAAAATGTTTCACCAGATGGTTCTTGATTAAAACCCAATGGAAACCAAATCAGGAGAGAGCCTAGAACAAAAGACAACAGACAACCAAATGTGGCTAAAATGTGAAGTCAATTCTTTAAACCAGTAAATACACTTGGAAACTGACTCTTAACCACAAAATATTTTCTGCAGCTGGCAGCAAGTACTTCTTCCTTGCTTTCTTACAGCAGCAGTATTAGGGTGAAGGAAATCCTGTCAGGGAAAGCCTGTGTTTGTTCTCAGCCAGTCTCCCGAGCACCCTCCACTTCTGGCAGATAGAACCTGTGTTTCCTCGAGACAGCTGCCACCTACCCTTCTCACCTGCCTCTGCCTGTGGACAGATTATCACCCAGAGGACTCCTGCGCCCTTATCAGAGGGGCCTCTATCCCTCACTGATCACTGTGAGCCTCCGGGGCAGCTGAAAACCCTCTGGTGGCACCTGTTTCAGTGGCACCCTGAGGCTGCAAAGTTATAGTTTTTTTTCTTCTGGAATAGTTTTAAGTGTTCCTTATTAGAGACCAAATATGATGAATTCTTGCCAACATACAACATCTCTAGGTAATGGACATACAATGAGGCATACATCATCATGACAACATGTTATAATTATATAGCATTGCAGTCTCCAAAGTACTTGTGAGGGAGGAAGGGGGGAGAAAGGGAACTAGTGTGCTAAGTGCCAGGCCCTATGCTAGTTATTTTCACGTGCCGTATGGTTTACTTTATACCATGTAAGTTTGAAGAGGCATCATCAGTCTCATTTTAGATGAGCAAACTGAGAGTGAGAGGCAACAGGAGTTTCCAAGGCACCAGAGCGCAGTGGGGAAAAGCACAGAGGATGTGGGTGGCATTGGGGGACAGGGGGTAAGAGAATAGTGGCTCCAAGGATGGCTGTGATGAGGGATTCAGGGGCTTGAACCACTCAGGGCTGTACTGAGAGCAATACAAGGAACCATCAAAGGCCTTTGAGGAGGGGCTTCCTGATGCTTCAGGAAGGTTATTCTGGGTTGTGACCAGGGTGTCCTAGAAAAGTCAGGGAATAGGAAGACCTGGTTGTATTTTGGTTTTGTCATTTGGGGGGCGGGCTGTATTGTGATGAGAGGTGAAATACAATGAGTCTAAACTGAGGCAGTGGGCTTGGGAAGAAAGAGGTGATTCCAGGGGCAGGGATGACACGATCTGCAGATCTAAGCAGCACTACCCAGAATGTCTGTGCCCTCGACACTGCCCGAGAGCTCCTCGCCTAAGGGAGCAGTGACACAGAAGACAGAGACCTGAGGATTTATCATGACATTTGGGGCATGAGGAGGGCAGGACTGGAGGAAAGTGCACTATTTTGCTTTCTCTATGTAGATATTACATTTTTAAAAAACCAACTTTATTGAGATTAACTCGCATACCGTAACATTCAAAGTGTACAATTCAGTGGTTTTATATATATTCATAGTGTAACCAGCACCATCATCTAAGTTTAAAACATTCCATCACCCTAAAAAGAAACCCTGTTGCTATTAGCAGTCCCCTCCCATTCCAACTCCTCTCCTGCCAGCCCTAAGCATGGATTTGCCTATTCTGGTATTTCATATCAATGGGATCATACAACACATGGTCCTTTGCGTCTGGCCTCTTTAACTTAGCATAATGTTTCCGAGATTCACCCGGGTTATAGCGCGCACCAGTTCACTCCTGTGTGCTGCTGAGCAGCATTCCACCACATGGATACACTACCTTTTGTCTCCTCATTCGTAAGTTGCTGGACATTTGAGTTGTTCCTACTTTGGGGCTATTATGAATAATGCTCCTGTGAACATCTGCGTGCAAGGTTTTGGGTGGGCATATGTTTTCAGTTCTCTTGTGTACATACCTAGGAGTGGAATTACTAGGTCATTTGCTAACTCTGTGTTTAACTTTTTGAGGAACTGCCAAACTGTGTTCCAACGCAGCTGTGCTATGTTACATTCCCATCAGGAATGGATGAGGGTTCCAATTCCTCCACACCCCTGCCAACACTTATTGTCTATCTTTTTATTACAGCCATCCTCGTGGGTATGCAGTGCCTTCTCACTGTGGTTTTGGTTTGCATTTCCATGATGGCTACTGATGCTGAGCATCTCCTCACACGAATATTAGTTAAGAAATGTCTATTCAAATCTTCTGCCCATTTTTTATTGGATTATTTGTCTTTCTATTATTGAATCATAAGAGTTATAGGGAATAAATTCTTGAAAAAATTATGAGGGAGTGGCTTTACCAGATGTAAAATATGGTAGCATTCTATAAAGCTACTCTAATTAATGTATTAGTCAGTACTCAGTACTCAGATTCCTATTGCCTACTCCCTAAAATGTATCTGTAACCCAAGGGATACTCCAGTGCTTGAGGGTCATCCACACATGTGCAGAGTAGCAATCCCAGCCGAGGTGGGACCAGACCTCACTCCGCCTCTCTGTTTCACGGCTCCCACTATAAACAAATGTGTCTTAGTGCCACATTTTCTGCATTTTTGTCGGTGATTCTGCTGTTTAAAATGGCCCCCAAGGGAGGCTGTGCATTTGTGGGGAGAGGAGGTATAGGGGTACTCTCTGTACCTTCTGCTCAATTTTGCTGTGAACCTAAAACTGCTCTTAAAAACAGTTTGAAATAATTAAAAAAAAAAAGTCTCCCAAGCCAAGTGCTGAAGTACTGTCTAGTGACCCCAAGTACAGGCTGTGATGTGCCTTAGAGAGAAAATACATGTGTCAGATAAACTTTGTTCAGGCACAAGTTTCACGAGCTGTTGACTGAGCTCAATGTTAATGAATCAACACTATAAAATGAGGTGTCTTTTAAACAGAAACATACATAAAACAAGGTCATGTATTGATCAGTTCATGATGATGTGGCCAGAGGCTCTCAGGAACCTGCCTCTATTTCCCCTGGGGGCAATAGGTTAATATTCACTAATTCAGTGTCTGCAGGGATTTTACAGAACATAACTACAGCACATAATGAGAACTGACTGTATATTCTTATAATGGAACAGACAAAAAGCTTAATAAAAAAGAATAAAGAATGTGGCAAGAGATCCAGAATATTTAATTCATATAAGGTCAATCTTAATTCACTGAAGAAAGAATGGATTCAGTAAGTTATACTGGGACCAATGGCTATCTATTTGGAAGAAAATGAAGTTTAATCCCTACTTTTCACTATACACTGAAATAAATTCTAGATAAGTTAAAGATATAAATGGAGAAAACAAAATTTAAAAAAGAATAAAATAGAGGAAAATATAAGATGATTTTTACAATTTTGGGAGCCAAAGGGGCTTCTTATACAAGATATAAACCAAGATGCCAAGATGCCATATAGAAAAAAATGAACAGATCTAATCAGTATTTGCATATAAAAGGTGAAGAATTAATATTGCGAATACATAATGAACTCCTATTTGATAAAAAAAATTTTAAATGGGCAAATAATACAAACACATAATCTACAGAAAAATAAAATAAATATAAATGAACTATAAAACATATGAAAAGACATCCAACACCACTAATAATCAAAGAAATGCACTTAAAATGAGATACCATTCTTCAGTTTTCTAACTGGCAAAACAATGACAATATTCAGTGTTGATGATCAACACATGCTAGTTTCTGAAGACAGTTTGGTAGTTAGTATTTATTAAAGTTTAAACTGTGCATGCCCTGTGATTCAGCCATTCTGCTCCAAGAATCTCTCTTACAGCAACAATAGTGCATGTGTATAAAGATAAGTCTATATGAACGTCCCAAGTGCATTTTTTATAGTAGCAAAAACAACTAAAAACTGTTTAATTGTGGAATATTCACAGAATAAAATAATATAAAATCCAAAAGATGTGTAAACTGGGTTGAACAGTGTCCCCCCAAAACTCATGTCCTTCTAGAACCTAAGAATGTAACCACATTTGGAAGTAGGGTCTTTGCAGATGTAATTAATTAAGATGAGGCCATACCGAAGTAGGGTGGGCCCTAAATTCAATCTAAATGGTGTCCTTATAAGAAGCGAGGACACACAGATCACGCACAGAGGGAAGAGGCAGAGACTGGAGCTATGCTAACA